TGAAGAAAAGGCTCAGGGGGATTTAATCAAAGTTTATAAATATCTGAAGGGAGGCTCAGGGGGATTTAATCAAAGTTTATAAATATCTGAAGGGAGAGAATGAAAAGGACAGAGCCAGGCTCTGCTCCGTGGTGCCCGATGACAGGACTAGAGGCAGTGGGCACAGACTGAAACACAGGAGGTTCCCTCTGAGCATCAGGAAACACTTTCTCAGTGAGAGGGTGACTGAGCACTGGCATAGGTTACCCAGGGGGGTTGTGGATTCTCCATCCTTGGAGATCCTAAAAGACAGGAATTCACTATAGGAGAAACACGTCAGCTAAACAAATAACAAACAGAAAGAGTGAATAAAGTTCTTAAAAAAGAAAACTCAAACCAATCCAAAGTATACTCAGGAGCATATAACGACAGATATCTGTAAGTCTATGTAAAAACAAGTTAGCAACTTCAAAATTATGAATAAGAACTAAAGCACTCAAAAATCAGAACTGAAATTAAAACCAAGCACTCAACACTGTTTGAACTTTCTATCTTAACCTTAAGCCTTTAAAGGACATGCTTCAAACTACAGGTTCTCTAGTTTTCCAATATCTAAAGTATAAAAAGCGCAACTTTTCACAGAACCTGATGGAATTAAATCATAGCATAGAACAGAAACAACGCAGAAGGCTGTTGCATTTGGTTAGTGAAACCTGCAAAGTAATCAGAGATTTAGAAACCTCAGCATTTTTAAGATTAAGAAAATTTTGGTTTCCCAAGGTTTGAACTGAGCTCTACTCAAATTCAAGGCAGCTCGCAGAAGACTTGGGGTATTCAAAATTTTAAATGTTATGCAATGCATGTCACCTTGCAAACAAATAAATAAATGACACTGGATAAAATCAAAGAGGCAACAACATTAAAATCACTGAAAGGGCCTGAAAGATATTATTCCCCTATGAAATACAGCCCTAGCTACATGGTTAGCAGAAACCCTGGCATGTGATGGCATCTATGATGACATCATTAAACAGACGAGTGGAGAGAATGGCACATCCCAGTGGGCATATCTCATCTGCTGGCACTAACCTGACATTACTTCTTGAGGCGAGTGTGCTGGAACTATGACTGAGCAAGCCTTGATGTGCCCCTCAAATTCCAGTCCTGTAGGGGTCTAGCAATGACAAATGCTCACTGAGAATCCAACAGATTTTAAAGTAGGGGAAGAAAAAGGGAGAGAAGATGGGCTTATACGTATGTGTCCAAGGGGATACCATTTTCTAAGGCTTTTTGACTGTTTTAAAACATATAATAGCAGGGAAACTGTTTCTGGTCTTTACTAAACTGAGTGATACGCATTATATGGTAGCACTTCTGTGAACTACTATTGCAAGAATTTTTAGCTTTAAGTCAAATGAAAATAGGCTGCATGACTTTCATGATAATATCTGCATCTCTAATATGAAGTTTCCTAATTTTGTGACATAAAAAACCCTATTATAAGAAACAAGACTGGACTGTATGTACCAAATATGGTATATTCCTCCCAAAACACATCTCGAGAAACCAAACTAGTCTCATAAATTCTAAGAATAACATTACAGATTTCTGATTACATCAGATTTGTGAATTTGTTTACAGTCTACTCCTTAAATTCTCTCTTTTTTGTAAACAAGCATCATATAGCTAGACAGCATGTTTTACACAATATACCAGCAACTGAAATTACCAGGCCCATACTGACATACCAAAAGCAGTGACAGCAATTGATAGGTACTCTAGTATCATCTGGAGAGTAGAGAAGCTGCCTTTAAGAGTGTATTCCTACGTTAATTCAGATTTGGAGATCTGGGAAGGTATACCAGATATAACAGGCAGACCCAGCAGACCTTTTGTATTCCAGTAACAAAACAAAACATGTGCCGTAACCTCTGTAACTGAACACAACCCAGCGTCAAACTACAAACTGTCTAAAATTCCCTGTCACCAGGCATCTTACATCAACATCTACCTGCATACATAGACTCCACACACACAAACACACTTCTGTAATGACAACATCACTGAAAACCACTGAAAACAAGAACTCAAGGCGGTACAGTTCCCAGTTGCTCTACACCCTGCCTGGAATTCACAGGGAAGTCTAACAGCATCAGCAAGGATGAACACAGAAGTCAGTTTCCAGCGCCGCATCTTATACCTGGGAAGTCAGGTCCTGTTTAGTCTAAGAGTGTTCATTACACGTTAAAATACAAATTGTGAGAATTTACAGAAACCTAAACAGAGAACATGGTGAAGAGAAAGTGGAAATGACAATTCAGAAATCTTGCCAGCACCATCCATTTTAATATTCCACATAAGCAGAAGTGCAACAAAAGTTAAATTGCAGAATAGCATCCTATACAGTCATATGAGCTAAAAATACAGACGGTGAAGTGTCTACGAGGCAATGAACTAGTGACTAAATATCATACCTAGCTGACTCGGGAAGTGATCGTGCCCCTGTACTTGGCACTGCTGAGGCCACAGCTTGAGCACTGCATTCAGGTCTGGACACGGCAGTATACGAAAGACATTGAGGTGCTCGAGAGGGTCCAGAGGTCAACAAAGCTGGTGAAGAGTCTAGAGCACAGGTCTTATGAGGAACAGCTCACAGAACTGGGATTGTTTAGTCTAGAGAAGAGGAGGATGAGGGGAGACCTTATTGCTCTCTACAGCTACCTGAAAGGAGGTTGTAGTGAGGCGGGGGCCAGACTCTTCTCCCAAGTAACTAGTGACAGGATGAAAGGAAATGGGCTCAAGTTACACCAGGGGAGGTTTAGATTGGATATTAGGAAAAAAATCTTCACGGAAAGGATTGTCAAACACTGGAACAGGCCGCCCAGGGAAATGGTGGAGTCATCATCCCTGGAAGTGTTCAAAAGTGCAGATGTGGCACTTCAGGACATGATTTAGTGGTCACGGTAGTGCTGAGTTGACAGTTGTACTCGATGATCTTAAAGGTCTTTTCCAACCTTAATGATTCCATGTTTCTATGACATGCTGTTCATGCATTTACTCAGTCTTTTAATACAAATACATGAAAATTTGATTCAAAAAAGATAATGTTAGAAAATGTCAAGAGCAGTAAGAATTACAAAAGCACAGAGGTTGTCAAAATGACTTTACATTGATTTGACAACCTACGTATTTCTGTAATTGTACATATATATTGTTATCGAGTATAGACACTTGTAGTACTAAGAGGTGCCTTTAGAGTGTTACATATCCCACTTCAGATAATTTAATATGCGGTGAAACTTTACTCCTTTACCACATTTTCTCAAAAGATGCCGAATTATAGTTTCTAGCAGAGGAGAAAAAGAGATTTCTTATTCACAAAAATGCGACAGATACACTGTGCAAAAAATGGCTGAAATGCATAACATGAAATTGTTTTTAAATTGTAGCACTTATCACATAATGGTAAAGTGTAGCTCTCTGCTTGCTGCAGAAAAAATTAGAATAGAAAACACATCATCATTGATGATGACTTAATTTGTGATGACTAAAGCAATATGAAAACTTCAAACTACTTTTATAAGCTTTCCTGTGACACTAAGAAAGCTCAATTTATTCCTATGGACTTAGACCTATGTAAAACATAGTCAACTGGCAATTAAAAAAAAAAAGGTCATTTATGAAAAAGAATATTAAGAAAGCTGCATTATACAGCTGAACAAAACTGACAAAACTGTACATTGAAAGGGGATTAAAATAAGAACTGCATAACATATTATGAAAAAAAAATAATATTTGTGCTGTTCTTTTAATCTGTATAACCAAATATACCTAAAGTTCCTGCCACCAGGAAAGAGGGAGTTAAAATACCTTTCCTTTTCTTCCCTTTCCTTTCCTTTTTTTCCCTCTCTAATGAACACCTGTTCAATAGGAAGGGCTATTAAAAGAGTCAGAAGAGTAACAGGAAGGGTAGTGCGTGTGGAGGAAGTCACAGATCCTCGGGCGGGCACAGAGGCTTGGGCTGATCTCCAGGAGAGAGAAATTCTGGATTGTAACTTGAACTGTTTCCATTGATATTTATGGTCAGACCAAATTGCTGAGCAGACTTGACTGTTTACAGCTCAGGTACTCCTGTTAAGCTCCTGTGAGCTCACAGAACATTTTAGAACAGGCAATGCAGCAACACGTGAAGTGCCCACAGGCATTTCACTCTGAGCTCACTGCAAATTCAAATTAGTAGGTTCTAAACAGCAAGGGCACAATTTAAGTTCTTCCTTAATATTGCATCAATTTAATAATGACCTTCTTTGGAAATCGTCTCACTTTCACTGTTCAAAAGCAGAAAGTATTTTGGCCAAGAAATCAATCTGAGCTCCTAATTTCTAAATTTGTAAAATCTTAAAAGAAGCTTATCAGTATCTAACAATCTGAAGATTCGACGCAATCTGTTAGCACTGAGTGCCTCAGTACTAAGAACAGGGTCAGAAAGGAAAAAGACAGACCACACTGACTTGATCTGACTGGCCTGAAGAAAGTGATTTGACACCTTTACTGGCGTTACCATAGTGAGAAACAGTTATACTACAGATGCCCTAACAGAACAGCAAAACATGAAAAATCCTCACAGCAAAGTTGTTAAAAGCTGCTCTTTAAAAGCTTGAGGCTTGCTGAAAACTGGAAAATAAACCAATAGGGTAAACATTTCTACCATTTTCTCCGTAGTCTCATTTATAGTTGTGAGTCTCATGCTACATCCATGGCAGCAGAATTCATGCTAGGGGGTCAGAGAGCAGTGGCACCCTGCAAATATTAACAAACTGTTTTGCTGTCTGTCAGTTCACTACCAGCCAACCAGTGCTTTACACCTTTGAAAGTTAAAGACAAAAACTTTCTATTTACCCTCACAAACAAAAACATTACTCAGTCATTTTTGTTCTTTTTGAGTCCAAATATACTGCACTGATTGAGTACATAACAGAGTGTTTTAAGCAATACATTATTTTCAAAGCAGTAGCACTTACCAATCCACTTAAGGCTAAAATCCAGATGTAGAAACCAGAGGTTAAGAGCTAGAAGACAAGAGCAGTGATTTGAAATTTTAATTTTACAAAGCTGTTGTAGTCTGAACTACTACGCTGCAATATTACATAGGCTGTATCTTTACCATGACAATGGCAGACATCAGAAATTTATCTCTGTGAAAATTCTGTTTAACATTAAAGAGAGATGTATTCCAGAAGTGGAAAAAACACAGGGATCCAACAATTGTTCTCCTTCTACCAAACAATACATTTTATTTTCATATAGTGTACTAAGTGTAACAGGATGTCAGTTATAGGCTGCACAGAAAAACAAGTCTGAAAGATAGACTGAAGCGAAGGAAATGACTCAGCAGCAACAGGAGAAGAGTTCCAAGCAGGGCAGACAGTGCAAGTGAAGCTCTCAGGCGTGCAGTCATGGAGAGACCAAGCATGAGCATCAAAATTAAAGAAATAAAGTTCTCACCCAGCGGCATATTTGTCGACATGAAACCACAGAAATAGGTCGGAGTGATTTTTTTGAAAAATCAGGATAAGCCAACAGGGCAGCCCATGTTTTCTAGTGAAGCGTGTGATTAATCACCTGCAGAAGGTTATCACCACCAACTGGGAAAATGGGCTGAAAGTTAGACTGACACTGGTTACTAAAACGGTTCTGTACGATGCTGACTGGATCATGAGAACACCTTCCCTCTAGGCTTCCGACTACAGAAAGAGTAACCTGAGATAAGGGCAGAGTTTGCAAATGAGGAGAAGGCAAATGATTTTTCCCTCAGCCTCTGTGTGACGGCAGCGACCGCTCTGTACGTAGCAGGGAAAGATCCAGCAAGATACAGTGACTACTAACAGCAGCGATCTGTATCGGAGGTGGTGCGGGTATGAAAGCAAATGGCAAAGGACACGATGGAAAAGAGCTCACACAATATCATGGCTTTCTCAAAGACCAGAATAATATGGTTGTGATAGGTGTGGAAGAGAGGAAACAAGATTTCTGAAAGGTCAAGAAAATAAGGTGCTGGAGAAGAAACTGAAGGAATACAAAAGCTGAACAGCAAAAGGGATAAATGAAACCTTCATATGGAACATGAGTCAATATTCTGAAACTGACCATTCATTCTAAACTACTCTCTACCGTACTTCACATAACTATGGTGCTTTCCATTGCTAGTGCTAGAGCTATTTTTGAGACTTTGTAATATATAAAAATGAGTATAATTTCTCCTAAGTTTGTGCATCTCCTGTTTCATAATTCAAGCTGTGACATGAGTGTCCATTCATTTCTAGGCTACTGGGGTTTTTTCTTGTTGCTTTTTTGAACAACTACTGCCTTTCCGTACCAAGTACCTGGATTTTTTCACTCGTATTGCAACAAAATACTACATGATATTGCTGTGTTCTGTGTTAAGCTATTTTAGATTACCTGCCATATGGTAAGGCTTGATGTACAAATAATATCAATTTATATAAAAGTGGAATTTGGCCCAAACCCTGATTATTTATTGACAGCTTTACCACATAAAAATCCTGCATTCTATAGCCAAGAGGAAAATAAACAAAATTATGAACATAAGCAAATTAGACATGTGAAGATACATATGCCTTAGTATCACATTGTGTTTTCATCTATTTTCATCTAGTTAATTTCCTTGACCAACAAAAACATTGTAGAATTGTCTATTATATTTCCCTGTGCAAGAAAATCAAGATAGCCACTAGCTAAACACATGTGGAATCATACATGCAGAAGCATAAAAATCCATAGATGAACATATAGAAATACTAACTACTACATCAGTAATTCATTAAAAGATGAACAAGCAAGTACATACCATACCTGTAAACCCAGTATATAGACCAGTGTCTTGTTTGTGATAGAAAAGTGGCCTAATACTTGCGCCACCTGCACTCTTGGAATGGAGGAATAAAATGGTACAAACAGAGCAAACACAGGACCCAAGCTGCAAAAAGAAAGATAGAGGTGGTTAATACGAATGATACTAACAACAGTGGTGTAAAACGATCGAAATAATTAATGCTAAGTACGTAACAATCAAAATGTAATAGCACCTTGCAAAACATAAGTCTTCCTCAGGAACTAGTGATTAGATAACTTGCAGTATTCAGGATAATGGATTAACTAGCAAGTAAGAAGAACAGGTGGCAAAAAGTATCTCATTTGCATATGTTTGGGACTGGAGGCAGCAGAGAAGGCAGCGTACTCAGCCTGACAGCAGACTGTTTCTATAAAATGCAACACACCAGAACAGCAGCAGTCGCTTGCCTCAGAACAAAACCTCTTTGGCTCAAATGGACAAATGGTAAGGATTATACCCTTCCCAAAACGTTATGGAAACCACTTCACTTCTGAAGTTAAGCTCCTATTATTTACGCAGGCATAAGGTGTTAGAGGATTGCCAACAGAGTGCAGGGTCTGAGATGGTCCACGGCCCCACAAATACCTAACTCCCTTTAGTCTTCTCCCCTTAATCACAGCACAAGACATTTGGGTTTCTAAGCCCTAACTGGAAGCAGTTTCATAGAATTTTAAGACTCAAGCACATTTTACAACGACCAGATACCTAGATTGAACTTGTGAACGTCAACTACTGCATTTCATCCACACACCCACGTACAAAGCTCGTGTTCCTCACAAGAAAACTCCCAGAAAACCAAACCATGTATTAACAGCAGAAGCCATAGCAGAACCAATGCCAAAAGCATGGATGTGGGAGATTCTAGAAGAAAAATACTCCCTAGGATGGAGAAGGGGAAGAAAACAAAGTCACTTCGGGTAGACACGACCTGCTGCACTGGCAGAGATGTGGTGGTGGTGACCCACAGGCAGCAGTTTGGGGAGGGGAGGGTGTACCAGCAACGTGCACGCCTCCACCGGTTGAATCCTCGCCCATGGTTCTGTGTGGTCCTGAGTTCCACAGGCATGAGACACTGCACGAGGGAATTATTCATCGCTCACCAGCTTATCAAAACTTCGAAGAGATGCAGTTTCTACAGGCCCTTCCATAAAAGGGATCTTACTATACTCAGCGGGAATTCTGCAAACAGCGCAAATCAGGACCTAAATAATTTGGGAGTGTTCACTCAAACCCACATTTCTCTTCTGGATGAACTACTGATAGGGCTAATACTATTTGAGATGATGGTCTGAATATTAAAACTTACATTTCCTGGATAACTGCCAAATGCAACACCCACAGCTATGAAAAAAACCCCTTTCAAATATTATTTTTACTTATTTAATGGGCTGTGGCTTAAGAGCATTTTGTTATCATTTTGTTTGTTGTATTTCAAGCTCAGCTTGTTGAAAAGCTTCCTCTCTGAGGACTTAAAGACAGTTTTACTATAAAAGCATTTTTAGTACCATCTGTTAAACGCACAGGCAAATGTGCCTGAATGTATAGAGAACGTTAACTTAGCAACTACTGAAAAATGTTTTGCATATAATCCTTCTCACATAAACAAAAAACACCTATATAAACATGCACAACACATTCTTAAAATAAATTCAAATTATTTAAGTTGTAGGAGTCAACAGGCACAGCTGTAAGAGTGCCATATAAAAACATCATCCTTTTTCAGGAGTGCTTCCATTGTAGACATATTCCCTTAAGTAAATCAAGTCTTACAAGTGACAAGAGAAAGAAAACAAAGAAAAAAGATCTTTTCCCTTCTTAGAAAAGCAATTTAAAATTATTTCTTTCTACTCTTACCAAATGACCTTAGGGATTACCAAAATTGTGGCATGCTTTTCAGGTTTAATTCCTCCTGTGGTAAACAGCGACTTTGACACCGAGATTTCACATGCAAGTGTGCACTCGATCATAAGACGGGGAAAGTACAAACAGGAATTTCCCATGACTGCAAGTGTGTTTTAGAAAGAGATTAGAGAACATCAAAAGATTCCTTAAATGTTAATATTCACCATTAATGTCAAAAAGAGACCACAGAAAGCACCATCCCAGTAGCAGTCCGTGTGATTCAAAGTCCAGTATCTGACACTGCTCAGTACCTGACAATCTAGAGGAGTGAGAGGAAACCTGGTGAAAGACCTTTTCTCCTAAAACAGTAAGCTCATAGGTTTTTTTAAAATGTCAAAACTAAATGCCCTTCTAAACATTTTGTGAAATTCATTTGTACAAGTGAATCCACTGTGTGAAAACTTATTTTGATTAATTTTAAGCTTTTGCCCTCAGCTTTCACTATGTAATGCTGTACTTCAAAAATTTCAATTAATCTTTTCCACTGCCTTCAGAATTTTCTATACATTACTCATGCCTTGTTTCAGAATATCTATATGAGATGCTGCTTATCTACAGCAGATCTGTCAGAGAAGTTATCTGTGTAACCATACTCGAATACAACCAACACAGTCAAGGGACCACAAAAGGGTGGTTAAGGAAAATGTGGACCCTCTGCCTGGTGGAACAAGGGGCCTAGTGACAAAGGACATGAAAAAAGCCAAGGTACTTGATGCTTTTTTTTCCCTCAGTTTTCACTGATTAGTTTTGCCCTCAGGTCCCCCAGGTCTGCAGCAATATCTGCTGTAAAGGAAGACAGTCTGGAAGCTCCTGAGCCCAACTGACCACACAGGAGTCAACAGGACCAGAGGGGTTGTATCTCAGGGTGCTGAGGGAGATGGCCAATGTTACTCTCATTGTGGTGACCAAGGCAGGTTCCTTATGACTGGAAAATGCAAATATCACACCCATCTTCCAGGACAGCAAGAGGAGGATTCAGGTAGCTACAAGTCTCACCTCTGTCCCTGGGAAGGTTGTAGAGTAAATCTCCTAGAAGCCACTGCCAGCTGCATGACAGACAGGGTGACCGCTAATATCCCGTATGGATTTACCAAGGGTGACTCTGGCGCTGTGGACAAGGGGAAGGCAGTGAATATTGCACGCTCTGACTTCAGGATGGCCTTCAACTCAGTCTCCTCTTGTGTCCTTGAAGAACAACCAGGGAGGTATGGATTGGATAAGCAGATCTGAGGGAAACTGGCAGCACTGATTGACTCAAAGGGTTCTGATCAGCAATACAAGGTCCAAGTGGCAGCCAGTTACTAGCAGTTTCCCTTAGGAATCCACACTGGGGCCAACACTATTTATTCTCTTTATTAATGACCTGGATGATGGGACAGAGTGCACTCTCAGCAAGTTAGTGAATGGCATCAAATTGGTAGAAGCAGTCAATACCTTGGAAAGCAGGGCCGCATTCAGATAGTCCTTGATGGGATGGAGAAACGGGCTGACAGGAACCATACAGAGTACAAAAAAAGCAACGGTGGAGTCTTCCACCTGGGTTGCAATAATCCTGTACAATGGTGTAGGCTGGCCAGAAAACAGATTTGCAGACAAGAAAATGCAAAAGTCCTTTGAATCTTAATCAGCAGTTCGCCTTTGCAGGCAGGCTGATGGCATACAGGTCTGCATTACCAAGCACGCAGTCACGGGGCCAAGAGAAGCAATTGCTTAGCACTTATGAGCCTGAACCTGAATCTCTGTGACCACTTTTGGTTTCCTTCCTTCAGTGAAGGCATTGATGTAGTGGAGCAAGTCCAGCTGGTGGTAATGATGGACCGGTATGGTACCAGGTTGCCCAGAGCTAGAATCTCCATCCTCAGAGACAGAGCCTGGACACACAGCTCTAAGACATGCTTTGAATTCACGGTAGAACTACATGACTACCAGAGATCCTGTCAAATCTACTCTCTTATTCTGTGAATCATCAAAGCCTTGTTCCTGAAGCATGTAATCACTGGAAGAATTTCTATTCCTGTATTTCACCAGTCAGGTACAAACATCCATCCATGTACTGTAAATAAACAGATTGGTTCTTAACTCTTTAAATTACAGTAATTAATTGTTTAGTAACATATAGTCAGGTTCAAAATCTACAGGTGGAAAACACACTCTTATTGAAGGACTACTTCAATTCACTCTTCTCTCGTTATTGCTTTCCCCTAATCCTTTTTAATCTCCTTTCCTCTACTTTCTCTCCTTTTCCAGAGACCTTCATCCCAGCCCTTTGTTCATTATACTATGAGAGTATGAGGAAACATCCTTTCAAGTACCATGGTTAACTTCTACTAGAAACTTGAGATATCTTGTGCTGTAGATGCAAATACATGCTGACTCTAAACTGAGTTTATGCCCTCTTCATGTTTATGAAGTTATTTTCAGTCATGTGGATTAGAAAATAAATTTTTCAAACAAAACAGAAAACTCTTAAAATCTGAAAGATTCAATTCTAGAGTTTGAACACTTTATATGCACACCATGTCAATCCCAAAGGTGTACTGTAATAGCAGGCTCTACAACAATTATATCTTCATTTCGAAGAGCATATTAAATTCCAGCATTTGCAGTGAAAAAGAAACACAGCAGACCAGATGGGAATATTCTACATCATAGGAGGCGATAAGACTGGTTCTGCACATAGGAAAAAAACAACTTGAAGAAACAATAACCTTGAAAAAAATATACCAGAGATGTAGAAACTACCACCAGAGAAGAAAGAATGATTTAAGAAAACCCAAACCCATTAGCAAATATAGGCACAAATACAGAAGAAAAATTGTTCTAAAATGTATAAACAAAGGGATAGAAAGCTGAAAGTAACTTCTGCAAAAATAAGTGCTGTTGTCAATTGAAGTTCTGCGGATTAAACTTGCAGAAATAACTGGTTATTTTATTCCGAATGACTCACTACACTTACTAACTGCGGTGCTGTATTTTTCTTCATTTAAGTTCTTCATAAAACATTAACCTGGCAAATTTACAACCACGTATTTTTGGGGGGACTAAAGTTATCAGTTATGAAAGCAGCTGCAGGTGATACAGAGCATGTAAACAGTGACTGTAATTGAAATTACTAAGTTACTTTAGTGCTCTGTGTTCCTACAGGCTATCCAGACACTGCCATATGACACTTAAGATACCACCCTTTATTGTGAAAATGTTAAACATTCTCAACAACATTCCTTAAAGTTAGGTAACTCCCTAGAATATGACCGCCCTTGTGAGCTGGAATCCTCTGGCTGACAGAGCCCAGAACTCTAAAGAACCGTTGACCGTGCCCAACCAACCCTTTTGCTGCACAAGAGCAGGACAGCCCAGTGCCTGAAGCCTCTCAATACCAGCAAAAGCATTAGGGTACATTGCCAATAGTCATGTATCTAACTGACATTATTTCACAGGAACGAAGGAAGAAAGCAGAAAAAAAACCAAACAAGATAAAACTTGAAGCTGTGCACCTTGAGGGGAAAAGAAAGGTTCCTCCTGTCCATGGAAATCTCAGCAGAATCACTGCAACTTTGAGTTCATTAAAATAAGAGAACAAACAACTGCACACTTTACAATCCCCTCATGAAGACAGAAGTCAGACACCTACCTCTTCTAAAAAAACCCTGAGTTCCATTGTAAACCAGTTTCAAGCTTCTTTACTTTCCCATTTGTGAGCTAATCCAGACCTTTCCTCTTCCGCTGGCTAGCATTTTTCTTCCAATTTCAGTTTTAATTTATTCATCATTAATCAGATGCTAACACATGTAATCATTATTCTTTAGCTTTTCCTAAAAAGATCAGTTAATTCTACCTCCCCATAACATCTGTTGTCCAAAGCTGACTTGAGGTACCCAATCATTTCTACTCCGCCAGCCAGCTGCAACGTACAATGTAAAATCTCTTCACAATGTCGGCGTTCACAATACACAGCCCTCAGGCAAGCAACTACTGCAGACCATCAAAGAATCATTTAGCTTATAGAACTATGAAGATAACTTTTTATTACTATTTTTTAAATCAAGGCCTTTAATGTATGATTAGCATGCTGCCATTCATGTGAAGGCCAAAGGATGGAGACAGAGATGAAACTGAAGGAGTGCTACAGGAATGGCTGGCCAAATCCTGTGCCATAAATGAGTACAGCATCACAGGGACAACTATTTAATGACTAAGTTGTTAATGTCAACGAGGTGATACAGCTAGTTACTGATGGTTACCCACTGAAGTTGCTGCTCTGCACCAGATGCCTGCAGCAAGTGATGGCTAGTGACAGCTTACCGGGTAGCTTTGCTTTCATGACTGATCACATTAATCGAATGGGAGTTTGAGTACAGCACGAGCGGGGAGCTCACACCTTTCTAAAAAGCAGGGGTTCCCTGTGAATCCCATAGTTGGCTAAACCTGACACAGAAACTGGAGCAAGACCAAAGACACACAAAGGCGTGAGGAAATTTTGAAGGGATTTAGATGGCAGAGTATTTTGTTGAGGTACAGTTCAACAGCTGGACTGAAATTTTTAGTCTCCCAAGTTCATCTAAGCTTGAGTGCTTAATTTCTTCTTTTTCATCCAGATTAACCTAACACATTTTATTTGGCCTCTGCAGAGTTACCATGACTCATTAGTGAGTCATCATTTACTGTTCCTCTAATTTAAGTCACTTGAAAATTCAAGTTTGTTCAGAAATGAAATACAGGATTCAGCTACAGGTTAGTTTTAGACACCTCATTTGTCTCCCAGAAAACAAAAAGAGTTAGTTTTGGAAGGAAAGGCAGTTTTGCAGTTAAGAAACAAGCTGGCTAGATTAATTTTCTGGTTGATCCATAAACACCCTGTGTAATTCTGAGCCATTTCTTACCATGGGTAGTAGCTCTCTACATGTAGAATTGTAAAGCTAAATCCAAAACCATTTGTAAACTGCTCAGATAGAGTAAGGACTAAGGAAGCAGACTGAAAAATAAATCATCACAGGCAACACTACATACTTATCAAAATATTAACTCCACTGGTTTGTTGTCACTATCTCTGAAAGTAACAAATTATTATATTAATTTACATGTTACTCTCCTTGCACAC